CTCGGAGTTGACACTTTTCCCCACCTCTAGCCACACATCTTCTCTATTCAGTCTGCCAGGCAACTGCAAATTGCCCCCGATATTGCTCCCTATTACACACCATTGATGGCAAAAAATGTTTTAAAGCAGTTACTGGAGATTATATCCCGTAAGAGATACATTACATAATTTCCTTCTGATGTAGGCAACTCATTTATCATCAGGGAAAAAAATGTTTGCAGGTAAACACAATTGTCTTTAACTATTTGACAGAGAATGCTTTAACAAATTGTATGTAATTAACTTAAGTTAATTCATACCTTCGGAGGGACCAGTCCCCTGAAACATTTTGAAGAGCTTATTATCTTCTCAATGTATCAATAAGCGGCTTTTTGCATGACTGCAATTGCCCGGACTATGGGTGATGCTAATGGTTTAAATTTTTCATAAGGAACCTCTGACACATTGATTTCCATAGAGGAGTCTATATACCGCATCTTAGAATTAAAAGATCATATGAAAGAAATGTAGTCTACCTTTTTGGTGGTGTCATAGATTGCAATTTTTCTAATTCTTTGGAAACAGATTTTGTGTTTGCTCCTTGGATTGGTGAAACAGCAGAAATTGCAAAAAACTGGATAACTCTGACGAGGGGAGGATGAAGTACCATATTAAGTACCTAATAACAGTAGGAGATTTAAAAAAAAAACTCAAATCTAAGATTATTTTTTTCTGAGGGAAAATTACCATAGAAAGAAATTTCCAGGAGACATTTTAAAAGTGAAGCCTCATATTTTAAATTACTTTTTGATTTATACGATCCCTGGTGCACTGTTAATGGGAATCCTAAAGAATATACATGTCAGTCACTAACTTACAAAACCTGTTCACTAACTGAATATTTTCTGATTTCAGGCATTTTTCTTCCTAAGAGTCTCACTTAAAAAAACATGAAAGCAATTCTGCGGATTTTTAATCCTAATACAGGGAAGACATAACTCTTAGAAACTGTCTTTACAGCTGGAGGAAAACTATTTTATACATTTTTGGAAGGGTAGTGGAGAGAGACTGTTGTAAACAATTGAAGTAATGGGGATTCAAGCATAAAACTAGTTCTATGCTGTTTATAGACATTAACAAATTTGTTGGTACCCTTACAGCTCATTGAAACAATGCTTCATTCCTCCTGGAGAGTGATAAAACAAAAGCAACTGTCTCATGTACAGTATACCTGCATGCCTTTGGTATGTCATAGAGTGAGGCAAAGGAAGTGTGCAAATAGATACATTATTGCTTGTTCTACAAAGATATTCTAAAATGTGTCTGGACAGATTTGCTGGTACTCCTTGAAAAAATGATAAATATTTGGATCATAGTGATATTTCAGTCTAACTGTTTTCTGTAATTAGTATAACTCATGTCTTCTGTTTCAATATTTTTATTAATGTTTAACACATTAGTAGACATAGGTAAGTGGTTCACATTGCTCCAAAACAGTAGTTAGGCAGAAAACAATACAAACATAATGAATGCAATATTATAGCCTAGGGATTACAATTCTAAGAGCAAGTGGGTGTCTCATCCTTAACCATGTAGTAAGAATAAACGCTTTGTGCAGCTGCAAAGTTAACAGGACTACACCCCTTGGAGAGAACCCAGAGAAGGGATTAAAAAAAAAAAGTGGCAGGGAGAGACCCCACAGAAGGAAAAGAGAGAAGAAAGAGGATAGAAAAGAACGGGAAGAGGGTAATAGTATCCATCATACTAATAGTGTTAGTGGGTCCCACATCGTGTCAATACTCGCTACTTTGAGCAGTAGCGGAGGCCGTCCAACCCCAGCACTATCACCAGAACCATCCGAATGCTCAAAACACATCAGATTCACTGCTAGCTCGTAGGGTTCATATTAGGGTGGCGATATATGAGCCAAGGTTCCCAAATACCCAGAAATGTACTATTATTGTCCTCTAAAATACTGGAAAGGCATTCATTGAGCATGATATAATCTAGCCTATTGACGATAACTCATGTCTTCAAACTTGTATTCAGTCAGTCAGCCTATTTAAATGGAGAAAGTAGTCACTCTGGTGTTTGGTATCATCATGTACAACGCACTGAACATGAACCAGAGAAAGCAAAGAAGAGAGTTGTCTGAGGATATCGGAACGAAAATTATAGACCAGCAAGTCAAAAGAAAAGGCCATAGGATTGTATGCAAGCAGCTTGATGTTCCTGTTACTAAAGTTAAAATAATGTTAAAAGTTTTAAGGTCCATGTGAGTGTACTCAACCTCCGTAACTGCAAAAGTAAAATCGACCGCAAATTGAACAGAAAGATAGCGTGAATGGTAGAAAAAGAGCCAAGGAAAACTTCCAAAGAGATACAAGTTGAATTCCAAGGTCAAATTGAGGTAAAATTAAATCAGTGTCTAAACAAACCATACGTCACTTTTTGAGCGGCAGTGGGCTTAAAGGAAAAAAAAACAGGAATACTCCACTTTTGAAAGAAAAAGACAGAAATAGCTGTGTTTTTTAACCTGTGATAATATAATATCATTTTTAAAAAACCCTCTTCAATACATGCACATTTCCTATGCTCCAGTGCACCATCTACTGGCCATAATGCTAACAGACATTTGTCCAGCTATACGCTGGGCGGAAGATTCATACATCATCCCCTTAGTGTAAGGACGTGCCAATAATGATGATAGATTTGTGATTATCATTTTATCACTTTATTGAGATTCCTTGCAAAAATTAATAGATCTGGATAAAATTATTTCTAACGCAAATCTGATTTTTAACAATGTCACTCGTCTAGCCAATGAAACCAGTTTAGCCGAAATTTAAAAAGCAAGAAAGCACATGGATTAAGCTTAGATCTAATATTTAAATTTACATTTAATATTTTTTAATAATCAACTGAGGTTTGAAAAGAATAGTCATAGTATTAATCTTTGGAATACTTTCTATTATTACTGCCTGACCATTTGTTCTGCTAAGTTTGCTTAGCCCCTCCTCTTTGTAAAGCATTTCTCCATATAGTAAAAAAGGGAATACAGGCTAGTAGGGAGTTATTTCTTTACAACCGTTCATTTAACCAGATATATGCAGATAGGAGAACCTGACTCTCTCAGCCAAAAATAAAAATAGGAATTGTGTAACGGTGATGCTTGATGAGCCTAATGAAGGGGACCCTGCGCGGCCCCGAAAAATTGCGCTTTACAAGTGACAATATGTATCAATAAAAAAGACTTTCCTTTCGACACTTTACTACGGTGTGTTGGTGACATTATCTTCATGCTTTGCACAGACTGAAGGCACCCTGGGCCAAATGCAGCCGAAGCAGCCCCAAAACATAAACAAGCCCCCTCCATGTTTCATAGTAGATATGGTGTTCTTTTTAGAAAGCTTTTTTCTTTCTTTCTCTAAGAATATATATCTAATGTGACTTGCAAAAAAAAGCTCCTGTTGTGTCTCAACTGTCCAAAGGACATTTCCCAGAAGCATTGTGGCCTGTCAATAGCCATTTTCGCAAATTTCGGTCTTTTTGTTTTTCTTTCAAAAGTGGATTATTCCTGTTTTTTTTTCCTTTAAGCCCACTGCCGCTCAAAAAGTGACGTATGGTTTGTATACACAGTTATTGCGTATGTGCGTACATACACATACATAATAGTACAATAGGGATTATACTGTATAATATTATTGTATTTAATATTTGTTACTTTATTATTTATGGTTTATTAAATGCAATACCAAATTTTCACCTTTTGAAACGCATCAAAATACAGAAAACCGGACTGCTGGAGAACTCTAAAAGAATGACAGACTTTTGGAATAAAAATTTCACATCATTATGTGTGAACTGCCATGGTCATAGTTCATTAAAATAAATAGAAAAGATTCTAAATCCCCGCTGGAACAAGGTATTGTACCACTGTGTTCACACCACAGGAAAGTGCTGTTATGATTTATGACTTTTGATTTTATATATAAGTGCAGCTTTCAAATCCAAAGATGCATCACACATAAAAACAAACATTAATGAGTGCAATTAAACTGAAAAGGGCATTCTGCATAGAAGGATTGTTTTATAACTAAAAAGGACAGTAGAGATAACCTCATACAGTGTGTGAAATTTCCAGCCTCTATTATACACATTTTTTTGTTCTGGTTTTGGGTTTTGGTAGCTATTTATGGCACAACAAAGCACAGAATAGAAACGGTGCTGTGAATGTTTTACCTAACCAGAAAAGCCTGTCTTAGGCACAAACATAAAATAAAATGTCAGCACAACCTTAGGCCCCCCGTTCATAGGCATTTTGTCACACGTGTTTGTCTGCACTGAAATGCTCAAGACAAGAAATCCCATTTATTTCTATAGTCCCCATTGATACCTGAGCATAGCGTTGTGTGTAGAAAAATGCCTGTTGCTGGAAAAAGTGCATGAGCCTTTTTTTGGGGGGGGGGGGGCAGAGCAGTGTGATTTGTCCCCATAGACGCAATAGGAAATGCTTGGAAGCGTGCAACACAATTATTTTGCGCGTATTTTGCACCTTTTACTCAAATTTCCCATTTACATCAATATGTCACAATATGCTCATAAAACTACGGAAATTGATATTATGAAAGTTAAAGTAGAAGGACAAACTGGGGGACTGACTAATCTTCCTCTGATTAACCCAGAATGCTTTTCAGCCTTTAACCCTTTTTAGGAAAGACCGTCATCAGATCTAGTTTACAAATGATTGGGGGAGATGGAAAGGATTTTTTTAGCAACTAAAAAGCACTAAAAAATGTTAACAGCAAATGTTTTATTTTTTTTAAAGTTAAGCTATGGGAATGGGAACATGTAAGAAATATAAAGTAGGTGTTATCCCAATTTGGCTGCAAAAATGGCAATGCACTTTAAGAATGTGAAGTACCGTAGATCTATTTATTAAAAAACAAGACTTGACTGTCCTGTTTGCTTTTAATAAATGGAGAAGATGTTGTACATGTGAAGTGTACAGTAATTTAAACTCTAATAACAATAGGAAGAACTATAGGGGTATGAAGGGGTTGGAATGGGTAACAAGAGAAAAGCAGAAGAAGAAAGAGGACAAGGGTAACTAAGGGAAGGTGATGTGTTGGAGAGGAAAGGGGAGCGGGGTGAAAGTGAGTTAAGGCATATGTGAGTGGGCAAGGAAGGTGCATCAGGAGCACAGCTACCTAGCTACAATTTATGGGCTTACAGTGGTGGCCCTTAAGGGAAAGTTAAGTCTTCAAGTCCAAGGGCACTCATAGTTGATCAGTAGAAATGTAAGAAGTTTCCAACTCTTATCTGTTATCTGTATGGGTGCCAATGGGAATCTTCACATTTTGTGGTTAGACGAGTGAAGTCTATCGAAGGATACCAGGTGGTTAATTATTTTTCCTCTCTGTCATGGAGAGATGTTGTGAGGTCCTCCACTGTCACGATTTCATGAAATTGAGCAAACCATAGATGTATGGATGAAGGTTCAATTTGTTTCCACTTGGCTGGGACACATGTCCATGCTACTTTTACAGGTGGATGGTAATGAATGATTTGTAGCTGTCATCGAGATCTGGTTAATATGTAGTAAGTAGCCAAGTGTGTTTGGGAGAGGTAAGCTGGAAGATTTGTTTTGAGACTTCGGTCCCAAATGGGCACATTAAAAAGCACTTTCAAAGACTCAGTAGTACCAGAGAGACAATCATTTATAGCCTTCTTCCTGGAATCAATTATAGAGGAATAGTGGGCAAATACAGAGAATAGCTCTATTTGCACAGGTGTGAGAGATGTTTGCAGTTCAGATTATATGTTTGTATTTAATATGCTACTGGTCAATTTATATTAACTTAAACCACTGGATAATGTTATTAACAAGAGAAATCATGTCTAACCATGCTAATTATTGACAGCAAATAAAGGAAAACATGAGTTTCAAATGGATGGACTTAATACAGTTCACTTTACATGGATGTCTTCTTCTAGAAAAAGATAAATGTTAGAAATGGGCAGCAGACTGACAAAGAAACAGCTGTGCATAAAATACGCTCTTACCATCCTCAAACTACAACTATTAATATAATTAGTTTGTAGAAAAAAACATAGACAGAAAAGGGTTTTTGTAAAGCAGATGGCCAGTACTGAAAACAAGGGACATTTCAAGGCACATACATTTCCATTTGTCAGTCTGACTGTCCCTGGAAATCAGGTACAGTATAAGACTTTACTGATATCAGCATTTATAGGAAATGATGTACTCTGTATTATGTGCATATGGCAAGGGGAAGCACTGATGCGAACCAAACATCCTAATTGGCCCACCCTTATCTCCATTAAACTATGGGGTGAGCAAATGTGGTGATTTCTCTTTTTAATATTTTGCCCTGCTCCCACCCTTTATGTGCCAGTAGCCTGCAGTAAACTGCTACAGAGATATGATCTAGATTGCAACCTCGATAAGGATTGTACAAGATGCAAACAAAAACCAAAGCTATTCCAACTGGTACTGATAAATACTTTAAAATAGTGACTTCTGGGGGGCGTGGCCTGACGCGAGACCAAGATGGACGCTTAGACCTTCTCCTCCTGCACTCGGGCTCTTAACTTTTTGCTTATCAAGGGGTCATACGTCTCCAACACTATGAGGAGAACAGGAAAGAACAACCAGGCGACCAAGCCATCTAAAGGAGCGGGCTCTCAACCAGCTCGTAGCCTCCCTGAACTGTTCCGAACCCAACCGCCGGAACGACACGTGGAGAGGGTGACGCCATCTTCCCCCGAGGGCTACTCGCCAAACAGTAGCCCGGGCAGAGACTCTCTACCTGACTCGCACCCGGCACATCAAGACCTAATCGCGTTAATGGGTCAGATGCCCCGCATGTCAGACCTCCATTCTATCGCTACAGATATCAAAGCCACTCTCACCACGGCTATCTCGGAGCTGAAAGCTGATCTGCAATCAGTGGCGGTATGTCTCCATGAGGTTGAAGAAGCGACCTCCCGCCACACTTCAGCCCTAAAAAGAAATCATCTGATATCCATCGCACACAATACCCGCATGTTGGAGATGCATCGCCATCTGGAGGATCTAGACAACAGAGGGCGCCGGCACAATCTGAGAATGCGAGGCATCCCGGAAAATGTTGAATCAGACCAGCTGGAATCGACCCTGTTACACATCTTTAATGAGCTCCTGGACAGACCACAGGAATCGCCAGTACCTATGGAACGCTATCATCGTGCCCTAAGGGTAGGGACACAGACCCCCCACGAGATGTAATCTGCTGCCTAGTGGACTTCCGCCTGAAAGAAGAGATCCTCCGCAGGGCTAGAGATAGGCCTCGTATTATTTTTCAGGCAGCGGAAATCCAGATTTTTCAGGATCTCTCTAACATCACCCTGCAGAATAGGAGAGCGCTCCGACCGTTGCTGCAATCCCTACGCTCAAATGGCATCAGCTACAGATGGCGGTTTCCGTTTGGCCTGGCTGCCACTCAATCGGGTCGCACTGTTGTCCTAACGGGACCAACAGATCTGCGACGATTCTGCGACCAGCTCCGCATCCCTATGCTGGATCTACCTGAATGGTACGCAGAGTTTCGCTTGCTAGACAAACGACCACAACCCCCTTCTCCCTCTCGGTCTGCAGCTGATCGTACACTGCGAAGCCTGGAACCGAACAAAGCAACGTCGCCTCGGCAGTAACTCGAACAGGAGATACACAAGTCATATCAGTTTGACCTTTCCTACACCGGACAGCACCCAGCCGCAGAGCACCACGGCATCATCCCTAAGACAGGCCTGGAGGCCTAAACAAACTACAACGCCCGGATCTCAGGTACTGTGTAAGCCCCATCAATGACGCCCTATGCCCGACCCATCCCCCCTACCTAGCCATCATCCCAGCGGATGCCCCAATATTGTAACGGAGACCTTTACCTACCCCCCCAACCCGGGCCGGAGTTCGGACCCCACAAGCGCCAGCCCTTATTCTACAACAATGGTATATGCTGGAAACATGCACACTTATCCTCCCGAATGGTACCCATGACGGCCTAACGTACTGCAAAGCTACCCAGGGTATGCCCCTATCCCCAGAACCGAAGGTAACACCCATGCTATGTTTGGATCTACGGACATTATACATGGTGCCATCTTATCCCCACTACGTTATCGTTATGGACCCAGATGCCGTCCAACGACATAGAGGCTACACCATGAAAGAGATGGCTAGGATTATAATTAACACCACAAAGAACATTTAAATGGCGGGAGCTTCATTTAATCACCAAACGGTCCAGTGTTCTTAGGGTTCACTGATAGATCAGCATTGTTTAAGAATGATGTATACTTCCTTATTATTCCATAACGCAAACCTGCCAGTTTAGCTGCTGTTACCGGTGTAGTAGATATAGCAATAGACATGTTAATGATAATGACATTGTTCTTGTTGATGTTTTCCCTTAAGCTGAGGTGATTGACCTCACTAATGTTCTGTTCTAGTTTACACGTTTATAATGTTCTTATCAGATACAGTATAGCCTACTGACTCCAGGGTGCTCATGATTGACCATACATATCAAACAGTCCAACGACGGTGTACCATAGAGGTAGCACGGACCGAACGGAGGCGGCTGTCTCAAACCTAAGGGCATCAATATGGTTGGGCCGCTCATTTAGCCTTCTCCTCACATTGCCACATAAACCCCCAGACGTTCACCCCAGAATGCTCCTTATACCAAAGTCGAGAGTCCCGTAAGTGCCGAGGCCCACTCTTGGTTCCACCACTCAGTCTCTTTCACACCTGACCCTCTGCAAATTGCTTACAGGGTCTCCTGGCCCGTCGTCTGTTCCTTCTCCAGGATAAGACACTTATTTATTTCCCCGCGGGCCGCAGTGTTCTTCTCTCCTTCACCTTCATCTATTTACTTTCCTCTATTTCATTTCCTCTCTTACTCTGCTCTAACGCTTACTCCTCACTAACCTTTCCTAACTAGCCTCTTTCCTCATCTTGACTTAAACTCCCTCCCCCCGTCCCTTGAATTATTTTCACCACTCTTCATCCTCTTCCCCTCCTCCCCTCTTGTGCTCCCCATCCCCCTATCTACCGTCCCTCACTCTCCTATTCCTTTCCTCCCCAACCCAGCCCCTGCTTCCTCATCACACACACTCCTCTGTTCCAACGAGGGCTATCATGCCCGACAACACTCCCCCCACTGGGGTGGTGCCAGTCACCTGCAAGGTTGTGTCCATCAATGCCAAAGGCCTCAATCTGCCAGAAAAAAGATCCCAATTTCTCCAATCATTCACACACCATAGGGCCCAGGTCATTCTATTGCAAGAAACACATTTCCGATCTGATGCCATTCCTAAACTGGCCACCCGTAAATACCCCTTAGTATACCATGCTACCAATGCACTCTCCAAATCAAAAGGGGTATCTGTTCTCTTCTCCTCCCAGGCCGACTTCCAACTGAAGGATCAACTAATAGACCCAGATGGCAGATACATATTTCTTAAAGGCAAGTTCCACAATACACCAACTACTATTGCCAACCTATATTGCCCTAACAAAGGCCAGGTCCGCTTCTTCCGGAAAACATGTTCCCTACTACGGGACTTTGCGGAAGGAATGTTGATTGTGGGAGGAGACTTCAATGTGCCCCTAAACCCTTTGCTAGACTCCTCTAAAGGCAAGTCCTCAATCCCATTCCGAAATCTACGCTTGATCAAAAAATCCCTTGCCACTCTTCATCTTCACGATACATGGAGGTTTCTCCACCCCACGGTAAAGGACTTCACCTTTTGCTCTTACCCGCATTTAAGCTACTCAAGAATAGACTTTCTGTTTCTCTCACAAAGAGACCTTCCCAATCTAATAGGAGCCTCGATCGAACCTACGGTCCTCTCGGACCACGCCCCGATATCAATGACCATCAGATTTCCCATGTATTCGGAATCCTCCCGAATATCACCTACCTGTGGATAAAGCTTCCCACCGACCTTCTGAGTCTTTACTCCCTCAACTTTGCCACCCTACTATCTCGTGTGCGCACTGATCTACAAGATCTACAAGTTTTCTGGGCCTGCTCGAAAGTCAAACCTTTCTGGTCCCGGGTTGCCACATTGATCGGAAAAATCACGGGCCTCACACTGCCTTTCACACCCTCAGTGTATCTCCTCCACTTGGCCCCACTCTCTCGCAAAAACTATAGACGCTCATTACTGATTCACATGCTGAATGCGGCGAGGGCTTGCATTCCGGCCTTGTGGAAGCAAGCCCTCCAGCCATCTATCAAGATGTGGGCTAGACGAGTGGAGGAGATTAAACTAATGGAAGACCTGACTTCCCCACTGAATGGGACCCAGACCAGATTCGTTGCTACATGGGGAACCTGGTACCAGTTCATAGATTCAGCTGACTTCTCTAATGTGTGCCAGGCATGATGCGGGGAATGGAACGGCTCACAGTTGGGGCCCCGTTACCCTGCCGTAGTACGGCTATGAGTATTTCGTGCTGGATAACTTGGAACTGACTGAGACCAGGGGTCTCTCCCTGCCTTTCCTTTGGATTTGTGTATAGTGCTTCCCTCTTTGTTACTTTGTTCTATGTTGTATGTTTTGTCCGTCTTTGTGTACCCTGCAGGGGTGGACCGGATTGGCATTGGCCTCTCACGATGGTGGCTGGGCCATGCGGTCTACCAGGCTGTGATGCTTCCTTTCCTGTTTTATAACTACAAAATGCCCTAAGGGATGGGAGGAAGAGAGACCAACCTAACCCGAAACAGATCTGTGTATATTTGGTGATTTTATACTGATTGAGACTGTCTCAATTCCCTTGCTTTATCTTTTGCTGTCAGGTTTATTGACTTTGCTTGGCGTGAGGAGGCCATGTGGCCTACATATTTTACATATGCTCTCTGTATCCCACATTTTTGTTTATAAATAAAGAATTTGGGAAAAAAAAAACACATGTAAAATAAATATGAAATCAAATGAAAAAATCTGTGTTATTCATTTGCTGTAGGGGATTGATTTACTAAAGGCAAATAGGCTGTTCACTTTGCAAGGGAATTTGAACTTTGCAGGGAAGTTTCCCCTTAGCTTCGTGAATGAGATGAAGCTCTACTGGCTTCTATCATCCAATCATGTGCAAGCAAAAATACAGTTTTAAAAAAAAATTCCCTTGCACATGCTTGGGTATTCTTTGCACAGTGACGTTTCACCACATTTACTAAGCTAAAGGGAACAGCTCATTTGCCTTTAGTAAATCAACCCCATCGCGTAAGAGTTTCTAAAAAATGTAATGTATTTAGTACTTTGTAGCATCTAGGATCCATGGTTTTTAACTTCCCTGGCGGTATTCCCGAGTGTGGCTCGGGGTTAATTTTCTGTACCATAAGCGGTAATATACTGCATCTACGACAACAGCATGGCTTTGTAGTAGAAGAGTCCGGGTGCTTAATTGGCCTGCAGTCCAGACCTTACATCAATTGAAAATATTTGGTGCATCTTGAAATTTATGACAGAGAAGATCCAGGACTGTTGACGAGTTAGAATCCTATATCAGGCAAGAATGGGACATTCCTTTCCCAAAGCTCCAGCAACTAGTCTCCTCAGTTCCCAGACGTTTACAGAGTGTTGTTAAAAGAAGAGGGGATGCTAAACCGTGGTAAACATAGCCCTGTCACAACTTTTCTGAGACGTGATGCTGCCATCAATTTCCAAATAACCTTATTTTTTTCTTAACCTCCCTGGCGGTATTCCCGATTCAGGCTCGGGGTTAATTTTCTGTACCATAAGCGGTAACCCCGAGCCACACTCGGGAATACAGCGTCGCGTCCGCGATCCACGCTGTGTCCTCCGGCCGATGCCGGCATCCGTCTTCCGGGTTCCGTCCCTTGCGAGCGTCCCCGTCGTAGGGGGGCGGAACTGGTGGGAAGTTTAAAAGTTTTACAAAAAAACGAAAAACAGATAGAGCAAAGTAGGGCAAAAAAAATAATCATACCGCCAGGGAGGTTAAAGTGTGGTTTATGTGCGGTGAATGTGTCCTATCATTTCTCTGCAAGTTAGGGATGCACCATTACCGATACCAGTATCAGTATCAGTATCCGTGCCGATACTGGGCATTTTCATGAGTACTCGTAACTAAAAGCCAATATCAGCACTTAAAGTTTTTAAATAGATTCGGCTGACATAAGGTGCCGTGCTTGCTGGAGGCCTCACGGTAGCCTTCTGGGGACCTCTCGGAGCCTGTATTGAGAGAGCAGAGATCGGGAGAGAGCAGAGATCGGGAGAGAGCAGAGATCGGGAGAGAGCAGATATCGGGAGAGAGCAGAGCTCGGGGGGCTCCCCCTGGTACAGCAGTTACGCTCCTGCACTCCTGAGATCTGCAGATCATTCCTCCTCATTCTAGCCATGGTACATGTTATCTGACTTCTAAGTATTCCTCCCCATCCCAGCCATGGTACATGTTATCTGACTGCAGAGCCTTCTTCCAAATCCCAGCCACAGTACAATGTTATCTGACTGCAAAGCATTATTCCTCAACCCAGCCACAATGGTACAATGCTATCTTAACATATATACATATATTAACTACCAGGGTTGCAGCATTTGGAGCTGGGACCGGGCCCTGGTGATCCACCACTGTCCTAAAATCAATAGTCTGCATTGTTTTAGAAAAACTGTCTCATAATTGTAATTGGTATCAGTATCGGTACTTATACTCGGTCTGGAAAAAATGGTATCGGCGCATCCCTACTGCAAGCTCTAAAAATCGTACTTAGTAAACACTGCAAAGCATTACAGTAATCTGTAATGTATATTGCTTTCACTCGCTGAGTGCCAACACCTATAGGACAAGTCCACCAATTGCCATTATTGGGTTCATACTTATTAGTAGGTACAATTTCAATATTTCCTATTTAATATTGTAGATTTATCAAGAACCTCTAGGATCACTCAGGAAAGAGACACATAGCAGATATTTTTTATCTGGTTGATTATGCTCCTGCCTTGCAATACAACACTTACTTTTCAAGAAATATATCAGATTGTGAATTTACCGTTTGATTTTGGTCTACTGTGTCATTTCTTACAAGATGGTAAATACTAAAGTTAGTCATTACTAAAGTGAAACTAGTTTGTAGCTGAGGTACCTCTTGATCCTAAACAGTATGCAGATGTAGCTCTTGTATGTTTCCTCCTGCTTTCTAGTTCATGTCTTTTGGCACAACTGGTCACAGTACCACAACGGAACGGGTCCTGATGAAGCAACTCTTTGTTTTTACTCCTAAGAACTGTTGGGTTACAAAACAAACCAATATATAAGTAATTTAGTACAGTTCCAAAATGATTGTTTATTACCCATATTTGCTGGCACTGACAAAAGGGAAGGATTGTTACTTGTTATGCATATCCCTTAAAATAATTCATATCCTTCAGTTAACATCTGGCGAGAGCCACTTTATGTGCTCATAGAGTGGGATAATCTGAAATATTCAACTCTGATATGAAGTTCCGAAATTCATTGCCTGAGTAAACATAGCACACATAAAAGAAGTCAAAGTGTGTGAGGGTAAGTGTGGTCACTTGGCTTATAAACCATTGAGAAAAAAAAAAATAAGCTTTAATCTTTGTGGTTTATTTAAAACACAACTACATTCCAAAAAAATAAAACTATAATGTAATTATATTTTGTTTCACTCTAAAACCATACTGAAAGCAAGCAAAGGCTTTAAATAGTACACTGGGTGGTAAACATGGCAAGCCATGGTCTTACCAGGTGCAGAAGATATTCTTTTTATATGGACTGAGGCATCATGCACTGAAGGGCAAACACATGGAAGGCTCGCCACTGTGTGCGGTACATTTAATGACCACAGAAAACTAGAGACAAAAATGAGAAAACAGGAGACATAAGCTTTAAGTCCACTCGATTCTTGCAATCCATGCTCTTAGCTTCATTTTCTAATGACAAATATATGCATATCCTTGCTCTGCAAATTCTGCTTGAAAGGACTAGCTGAGAAAAGCATAATAGCAGAAAGCACAGAATAGACAATTTGTATCATTAGGGAAAAGTTGAAGTCCCACAATTAGATGAGAAAAAGAATAAGTTATGAATTTTCAGCAGTTATCACCGAGTTACAAAACAACACAACAAAAGTTCAACAGAGGCTCAGAACACCCTGTCTCATCACAAACAAGTACTGTATGGAGTGAACTGAATGAAGCAAGATATTAATGCAGACAATACAGGTATTATTTTAGTCCCAATATATATGAACCTACATGAAATATCATTTTGCAGAAGTATAACCTCTTAACTGCTTACTGCGATATCACATTATCCCAGAGACCTGCCTCTGTAAAATTGGGATACTTGTTTAAAGTGACATCCCCTCACCCCCAGGTACACAGGTAAATGTAAACCTTTTTAAGAACTTTTTTTGTTAATGTTTTTGCATATATCTACTGCTTGCTAGCAGTAGATATATGCAAAAACCCCTGAGGGTTTAATTATTCTTTAAGTAGTATTAAAGTGAAGGCAAAAAAAAAAACACTTTTTTGTAGTTTTAGACTGTATGGGGAAAGGTAAAACCCTCCTGGGGACCATTGTTAATATTTTTTAGGCTATGTAAATGTTTTTGCAGGTACAGGAAACTACCTGGTGATCCTGTCAGAATTCCAGAATCCTTGTCAGTGAACTGTAATCTCAAACAATGTTATCAGCCTTCCCAGCTATCTTCTGTGAACTATAGAACAACTCCTCCCTATGTAATGGAGATGAGGAGAGGGGGAAACCAGGAGAGAAGACTAGTGTGAGAACACTGCTTCTCCACAGATACAGTGCATTGAATAAGCATTGTCATCTTGGGAAGGAAATGTGTTCCTGACAGGTTTAGCAGGTAGAAATAAACAGAAAAAAGTTTAAATGGGAAACAAATACAGCCACCGCATCTAAGGACTAGTAAGCTACAAAATATTACATTTGTGTTTTTGGGTTTGGATATGCTTTATGTTTGCCTTTAATTCTGTGTGTACTTTTAAACTATTGCTGCACTTTGTTTAAAAAAAACAAACTACATTTAGAGGGTGATCATAGATATAGATAGGTATTTTAGAGCATAATGGTTCTGATTCTGAGCTTGTCATTCTTAAAGTGGACCTTTACACATATCTCCAAAATAACAAAACGCACCTTCAGAAATGTTTAGCAATGACAATCTACAAACACATACTTAAAGATAATTGCACTCAATATATAGATGTTTAAAACATCAAGGCTTTTTATTGTTTGCATACCTTATTTCTCTTTCCTTCCCCAGTCTTCTGACAGTGGCCATTTTTACTAAGGGAAGGTTACTAGATCTCCTTTTACTTCCTGGAACTCTGGCACATGTGAATAGGACATGTGACTATCCATGTCATCCCAGGGGAGGAAAATGCCTTTCAATGAGATTACAGATGAGATTTCCCAGCAATGCTCTGCTGATGTAACCTTCCCTGGTGCAATGCTTGGGCACATTACATCATTTGTGCCAAAGTGGACCAGGAAATAGAAAAAAAAAGTCAAATAATAATATGTTTGTTTAGCTGATAGATGTAAAATTACTTAAAATTCAGCATGCAGAGCTGTATGATGATGTGATTTTTTTTCTCAAAGGGGGTAAAGGTCCACTTTAATATAAATGGCATTTGTTTAACTTAGATTGGAATCCAAATTGTAGATTGTAAACTCTCACAAGCAGGCTCCTTCTATTCCTTTTGTATGGTATTGTATTGTGATTGTAATGTCTTCCTTATATTGTAAAGTGCTGTGCAAACTGTTGGCGCTATATAAATCCTGTATAATAATAATAACATTAAAGGCTATATCAGATTTCTTGAAATTATATTTATATTCTTGCCAAACACTCAATATATAGATATTTAAAACATCAAGGTTTACTGGATGAGCAGATGTATCTACTGGCCCTGGGTACACACTTAACCAAAGGAATTATGGTAAATAATATCCAGTAAGTCTGCATGATATTTGTAGCTCAGTTGCTAAGCACCACATGCAGTCAGAATCACTTGAGTGCTAACGAGTGAGTTAAAGCACCAGGGGACACACTGTTCTCAAAAAGAGTACTAACAAGCAAAGCTGAGAACCTGGATGCTATGGAAGATGAATGTTTTAGGGGATGCTTATTGGAAAAAAATACTGTGCCTTTATGACATTGTTCAGTACAACAATACCTGCAGAATAATAGATGAATTTTAATGTAAACTCCCTTTATTATAGCTTATAAAATTGCTAGTTAACAATTGGGTTATTTGTGGAAGAAAAAACACATCTATACATTGTAGAGTATTTTACTGTAACCTACACTCTGTTTAAACTATTGTTTTCTGTACACAATGTCCTTGTTCATATTTTGCTAACAATAATGTTCAGTTCTTTATGGATGCTCAATAGATCTTTCCTTTACAGGTTTATATATGTCAGGAACTTGCATGTAATATATATATGCATGGAGCCCAATTGCGAGGGATAAACACACATGGAGTGGATGTGCCAGGAACCGATAGCGTCAAGCCAACAAGGGAAGTCCAGTTTACGTAGTCAAATAACAGTCCAAGGTCGATGCAGGCGGAGGAGGTTCTCATGCGGTTATACAAGCCAAGGTCAGTGGGGGCAGCTGCGGTTCAGAAACGATAAACAAGCAGGGATCAGGAGTCAGGAATACAGGAACAAGGGTCTGAATGCAGAGGAGTCAGGAACACAGGTTTGAACTCTGGGAAGCTCACTAATAACTGTGCTCTCTGAGCAGCAGTGCTTTACAGGAAAGGTCTGCTGATTAGCAGTTATCAGAGAGGGTGTGGTGGCAGGTGAGCATTCACACATCTCCTCTAAAGCAGATCTGCAATTTAAACTTGGAGCTGATGCAGAGCGCCCTCCCATAGGAGAGGATTGAGAAGATATTGCACCCTGCGGCTGTCATATTGGACAGGCAGCCAGCTGTTGTTTGTGGCTAGGGGGAGTGTCCCAGGCAGCATTGGATGCTGCGAGGAGAGGGGTATAAGCGGCATTACAATATAATGCTTGATTGGTTCAAAGTACAAAGAGAAGGAAGAGGAGCAAAGTCAAGGGCATGAACATACTGTACAGACACAATGGTGTACAAATGGCAATAGGCATAAGGTTATTGTTGCCTGATCCAACCAGATTCATTGGGATGAGGAAATGGGCACATTTCTATTGGCACTACACAACTTCCAGACAGGCTCAGTAACTACTGCTGGGGGAAGAATAGATTAGCCTGGTCAGATTTTCCCAGCTGTTCGATATTATTTACCTCCAAGGAAAGCAGTTACCAAGAATGTCCAGAAGCAATGCAAGCTTCATAGTTTAGATCTTACTAGCTGGCCACAGGCATCAAAAAATGCATGTATGCATGATTTAAAAATGGTCAGGAGTCATCTAATATCTATGTGCACCAGAAAGAAAGATCTTCTGGCAGTCAGATTATACCCAGAAATGTGACATAATTTGATGTCTACAGGTAGCTTTAGGCTAATAAGTAGGTTCCGTATCTATTGAAAATACAGGAGAAGTGCAGAGAGAGTAAAACAATCTCCCCACTGCTTAGAGCCGTCATGGGACACTGCAGCTGTCACATGCTGGCTCTATACTGAGATCTCAGTGCTCATGAAACTACTGATCACTCAGGTCTTGATCTCTTCTCCCTGCAGAGAGCAGTGATTATAAATCATCACTCCCTGCAGGGATCCCCCTCCCCTCTCTGTTCCTCTAGCGCTCATTGGATGGACAACTGTCACTTAGGCACATGGGGTGGATCCAGACACTAATATTGGGATCCTACCAGCTGAGGTATGGCTCTGTGCTGTCAGCTGATAGCAGACAGTAGCCCTCCATATGCTGACTTTGGGTCACAGGAGAACATCAGTAAATGTATTCCCGTGACCCAAAAGAGAAGTATAGCCAACATAAAAGGTTTGCCTTTACTTCTTCTCTAATAAAATACTTAAATTATAAAATATGTTTTTGTGAGGACATTGCCTTTAAGTAAACCAGACTGGGAAAAACATTATCTTATTTTAGTGTGACCTCCAAGGCAACCTTCATGGTGTTAATCTGTTGTTCTAAATGCAGCTGTACAAAGCAGCCACACAGCAAAAATGATACAGAAAAAGATGTGAAATTAATTTGCGGTTCATACTCGTTGTGATGCATGACCATTCCACAAATTTTTCTGAGCCAGTTTGAAATGTACCATCTGACTGAACATTTCTGGCTTTATTTCTCATTATACTGTAGAGATTGTTGGTAATACTTTCTGTAGGTTCCTTACCTCTTACAATTCACTGGCAGAACTGGTATCATTTCCAGTATATCCAGTACTATAATACCTATACTTTTTTTTTTTTCTAATCTAAACTAGCAGCTGTTGTATTATAGAGTGTTGTACTGTGCTATTAGGAATAACGGAGAAAAACTGAAATTAAAGAATATTAAAAAAAAAAATACCTGGATCCCTAAACCTGGAGCAAACCCCACTTTGCACAAGTACGCCAGTTATAATCAAAGCCGATGAAAGCGCAAAAGGGAAAGAATGGAACAGACTATAACTGTTTAAGCGCAATTGGCCATCAGATCCTTAGGGTTAGTTCACACCAGAAACTGCATCACAACTGCGTGCATCTGCGCAGTTGCATTGCGATCCGTTTTGCCGCGTTTTTGATGCGTTTTTTCCCCTGCATGTCCCCTGGATGATGCCACAATCAATTCTGTATTGCATTTTGATGCGTTTAGTGCAGTTAGATGCCGGTAAAATAGGACAAGCAGTACTTTTTCTGACTGCAGTTGAACGGACTGC